ATGGATTCTTGGACATTTAGCAAAATATCAAATATATTTCCTGTTACGAAAGGGTAAATTACTGCTAAAAGAACAGAAAACAGCCACCAACAGTGTTGGAAAACCCCATAAAATGATACAACATTACATAATCTAAATCTATATCCTACAGTATCCCGCTTTTATAAAATGAGCCGTGTTCTTTCAGTGCTACGCATAATTGCTGGTGCTAAAGGAATCAATTCCAGCCTGTTCTTTCAATGTTTTATGCACCTTACAATAGATGAATAAATACATAGCGAAAAGAAAAATCCATTAAAAACACTGCTAAATGACTGAAAAGGTAAGCTTTTGTGCGCTGCTCGTAATGCGATTGACGGTCTCACCATTCTCAGCCGAGAACACAATGGTAACGGGGCTGAACGGTCCCTGGCCTTTGGTGTTGTAGGCACCCACTTTGACGCTAAATGGAGAAAAGGGTGGGATGCTCTCGTTCCGGTACACGTAACGGGACTGGGATGGTATGGAGGTGACGGCGTGTGTCCAGTTGACCTCCCCCAGTGGCCGGAAAGCGATGATGTAGCCGAAACCATCTCCGTTTTGCAGGTCTTCAGGCACAGGCTGGGAGGGAAACAAAAAACTATAGTGATATTAAAACATACAGACCAGATCCAGCCTCAGGTTCACACCCAGTGCCTTTCCAAATCCCACACAGTTTTTGCAAAGTGATGCAATCTCTTGAGAGCACAAATGATCCGCTTTCTAATATACAACCAAATTTGAATTGAATGCCATTACGGGAGTAAAGGGCCCAGATGGAAAACAACATTGGCTTTGACTAAGGTAATAAACACCCCCATTCAATTCCATTTAATTAGCCAAAACTATTACCTCGCACAGAGGGAGTGATAATATAGACAGATGACTTACCTCCCATGTTATTACTAACTCTGACTTGGAACCACCCCCACCTCCGACATCGGTGGGGGCCGTGTCAGGAACTGCATACAGAAAAACAAAGAAAAAAAAACAGCCATGTTTTCAGTACAGCGGATAGATGCAACCCCTGCCTTCCTCATTATTTCTTTTCTTTTTCCTTTTACTCAAAGCCTCATTATCAAGTATCAAATGTAACAAAGCTCCGGTCCCTTAGCAACTGCTTTTAAAAGATTCTGTGGGCAGCATCTGAGTTAACGGCCTTTGTTTCTAGTGAATTTCACCATTTGCCGAGAGTCTCTCAACAATAATGCTAGAAGAATTAGTTCTATAATGTACAAAGAGGCACTTGAGCATTGAATGCACCGAAATTGTATCGCTTCATCATGTGACATTTGAAGAATATGGACACTTGAGCATTAGTGGGTTCAACCTCAGACAGCATGCCCACGGACCGCCTACAATCGCTTACTGACCATTTGATGCATACTGCACACAAAACTGGATTGCGCTTTCTTGATCGGGCAAGCTCTGTTCTGATTGGCTGACGAATTTGATGAGCAATTTTTTTCACAAGGTACTTTTTGAGGATGAAATTATCTCTGGATTTGCCAAAGTTTGAAATGTTACATTAAATCAGATCAAGACTACTCAGAGCAGTTCTGTCTGTGAAATAGTCTGTACTACTTTTGGAAGGGTAGAAATTCAGATTTTGGAGTAATTTTGCTTCCGACCACTTCTTTGTTAATCGGAGTCAAAGAAAATTGCTAACGAATATATAAGTAAACAAAAGGTGTTTCGATTGTCTGTTTTTCGATTGTTCACAAAAATTAAAAAATTTTAATCAAAGCATACTGGTAATGAAAATATGATGAGAAAAAATAACAGTGCAAGATACACCAATCAGGGATAACATAATGACCACATTTCTAATATTGTGTTGGTCCCCGTTTTGCTGCCAAAACAGCCCTGACCCATCGAGGCATGGACTCCACTAGACCCCTGAAGGTGTGCCGTAGTATCTGGATGTTAGCAGCAGATCCTTTAAGTCCTGTAAGTTGCGAGGTGGGGCCTCCATGGATCAAACTTGTTTGTTCAGCACATCCCACAGATGCTCGATTAGATTGAGATCTGGGGAATTTGGAGGCCAAGTCAACACCTCAAATTCAATGTGCTCCTCAAACAATTCCTGAACCATTTTTGCTTTGTGGCAGGGCGCATTATCCTGCTGAAAGAGGTCACAGCCACCAGGGAATACCGTTTCCATGAAAGGGTATACATGGTCTGCAACAATGCTTAGTTAGGTGGTACGTATCAAAGTAACATCCACATGGACGGCAGGACCCAAGTTTTCCCAGCAGAACATTGCCCAAAGAGTCGCACTGCCTCCACCGGCTTGCCTTCTTCCCATAGTGCATCCTGGTGCCATGTGTTCCCCAGATAAGCGATGCACACGCACCCAGTCATCCACATGATGTAAAAGAAAACGTGATTCATCAGACCAGGCCACCTTCTTTCATTGCTTCGTGGTCCAGTTCTGATGCTCACGAGCCCGGTGTTGGTGCTTCCGGTGGTGGACAGGGGTCAGCACGGGCACCCTGAGTGGTCTGCGGCTATGCAGCCCCATACGCAACAAACTGTGATGCACTGTGTATTCTAACACCTTTCCATCAGAACCAGCATTAACGTCTTGAGCAATTTGAGCTACAGTAGATCGTCTGTTGAATCAGACCACACGGGCCAGCCTTCACTCCCCACATGCATCAATGAGCCTTGACTGCCCTTGACCCTGTTGCCGGTTCACCACTGTTCCTTCCTTGGAGCACTTTTGATCGATACTGACCACTGCAGACCGGGAACACCCCACAAGAGCTGCAGTTTTGGAGATGCTCTGTCCCATTTGTCTAGCCATCACTATTTGGCCCTTGTCCAACTTGCTCAAATCCTTATGCTTGCCCATTTTTCCTGCTTCTAACATCCACTTTGAGGACAAAATGTTCACTTGCTGCCTAATATATCCCACCCACTAACAGGTGCCGTGATGAAGAGATAATCGGTGTTATTCACTTCACCTGTCAGTGGTCATAATGTTATGCCTGATCGGTGTATTTACACTACCATTTACACTACACTACCATTCATACACTACTATTCAATAGTTTAGGGTCAGTAAGATTTTTTAAAAGAAATGAATACTTATATTCAAGAAGGATCAATTAAACTGATCAAAAAGGACAGTAAAGTCATTTATAATTCATATTAGAAAGATTTCTGAAAATTCAGCTTTGCCATTACTGGAATAAATTACATTTTAAATGATATTAGAAAACAGTTATCTAGTGATAATATTTTACAATATTACCATTTTTACTGTATTTTCGATCAAATAAATGCAACCTTGGTGAGCATAAGAAACTTCTTTCAAAAACATAAAAAAATCTCACTGACCCCAAATGTTATGAACTGTATTTGAAATAATGGTTTGAATGCACAAGTTAACTAAGTCAATAGTTAGTCAGAAGATGTAATGTTGTGAATTAGTTTTTTCTGTAACAATGCACTAAAACAAAGGCAATCAATAGCTAAACCATAGAAAATTCACAAGATTGTATTACTATAGTGTACTCATTATGTTATTTCAGTAGGGTTTACAAAACAGGCAGAGTTTCACAGGCATTGGTTAAATGTTGGTATATGTTTAAATTAATCCATATAATGTTTGAATATTTGCTATAATTTTGTGCTCTCATTAACTAAAATGTTATTTTCATAGACTATAATTAGATCAAAATAAAATTGCCTAAAAGAAATGAATATTACATGGCAAAAACACAATTTAAATGAGATATTTTCCAATTTGACTTTCAGTAAAAAAATGTGTGTATAAATTAACACCATTGGTGACTCACCTGCATCTTCAGTTTTAGTTTTAAGAGAAGCGGGACTCGGTTCCCCCACGCCGACGCTGTTTCTGGCCAGCACTCTGAACTCATACTCCACCCATGCGTTCAGATCCACCACCGTTGCCGTCAAGGTGTTCCCATCAATCACCTCCGGGACTGAGAGCAAACAGAAAAGTCACTGTTTAACTGAAAATACCTGGATTACACGGCCGCACCATGAAAGTCAACAACAGGAGCCCAATTTTGAGTCTATGTTTACAGTAAGCCAGAAATGTCACAAAACATAAAAAATGTGTTCTATACCATGCCCCTGTCTGGGTGGGATGTTGTTCGAATGAATTCAGATTCAAGCAGCAAGGCAAGAGACCAGATTAAGTCGTTTTGCGTTAGTACTTAGAGTCCCTTATATGTACTCAAAGCGAGCATAAGCTTCTTTCTTAAAACACATGAGACATGCTATGGTAATTTTAGTCTCTTGCTGAATTGATGCTCCGCTTGACTAGCTTTAGCTAATCCTGTATTGTTACCCGTGTTCACTGCTTGCCAGCCCACTGTGAAAGCTGTCTTGGCCTGGATTATATAGCTTGTGATGGGGCTGCCGTTATCCTGGCCGGGTCTCCAAGAAAGCTGAGCCGTGCTGTCAGTGATCTCCTCCACTGTTACGCCATCTGGAGCTCCTGGGGGACCTGATTCAATCAGACAATTAGCAGTGAATTAGCAATTAGAAATGAAGTTACCTTCACTGACATCTAACCTTGCTCACCCCCTGCCAGGAAGTTCTCTCCGCTTATCGCCCCACTAAACGGTGATATAAGGCCAGTCTCTAAAAGGTGTTATTACATTTTAAGCGGTTGCTTTTGTGGGAACACTAGATCTCTTTGAGAATCACAGGAAAGCTTTTCAGAGGCTTGAGCTGTTTTCTTAACAGCTACGGCACGTCTCCTTTGAAAAGCTGCAAGTAGCTGCAAATTTCCAATTAAAAATGTGCAGAGAGTTGTCTTCCTTTGTCAAATTCACACTCCTTTGGGGGAAAATATAACGAAATGGAGCATAATGTTTGGTGGTTTTGTCAGCGCAGGTCACTTGTAGCATCAATAATAAGACCAGACAGTGTTTGCTTCTCACCTAAAAGGCACTCAAAGACAAATCATCAAGACAAATTGTAATTTTTTTTCTTCATATTTGATTTTGGCGTGAGGAGTTTGCATGCATCTTTGGTCTGACTAACATTTACATAATTCATTTTAAACCAAGGCCCCCCATTGTGCATAATATTAAAAGGCCAGACACTCCTAGTTTCTGTAAATTAAACTGCTGGAAGTTTTAGGAGCTGAATGTCCTTCAGGGGTCCTTCTCTTTTTTTCATGCCTGTTCCAGTTACTTAATCTCAATAATCTTAATAATGAATTATATGAATACTTTTACTTACAATTTCTACCTGATGCAACATTTTAGAGCTTTGATGCCTATTGAGTTTTGCAATTGCATTCATTTAACTTACAGTGGGTGTAGAAATGAATTACCCCCTTTAAAATAATCACATTTTGTTGCTTTGCTGCCTGAAATGAAGACAGACAAAGTTTTTGTTTTATCCAGCTCTATTTACTCAGTGCAACTTATAACATCCAAGTGAAAGATATAGCACCAACATGTCAGAAAAAAAACAAAAAAACAATCACGGAGTTGGAAAAAGGATCACCCCCCTCCTAAAAATGACTTGTAAACTCAATCAGGTGTAGCTGATCACCTTCTCAATGGCACACAAAGCCATTTGACTTTTAACTGTGATCAGCTGTGGTCATTTTGATTAGCTCAGCATGAAAAGAGCTTTTGTACAACAGGGAGAGTACAACACAGATCCTTCCTGATCAGGATGTCACTTTCAAACTGGATGAAAGAGCCAGGAGGAAACTGGACAGAGAGGCTACCAAGAGGCCTACAGCAACTCTGAAGCAGTTGTAGGAATTTATGACAAAGAGTGGTCATTGTGTGCATGTGACAACAATATCACAAATTCTCCAAAAATGCAAGAAAAAAAAGCCACTCCTCAAGAAAGGCTACATGCAGTCACGACTGAGCTTTGCCAAAACACACCTTGAAGATTCTGAGGCAGATGAGACTAAAATTGAATTAAGCAGCCTCAACGCCAAACAATATGTCTGGCGGGAAATCCAATCCAGCTCACCAGCCAAATAACAGCATTCCTCCAGTAAAGCACGGAGGTGGTAATATTATGGGCTGTTTTTCTGCAGCAGGGACTGGAGCACTTGTCAGGATAGAAGGAAAAATGGATGGGGCAAAATACCATCAAATTCTTGAGGAATATATGCCCTCTGCCAGAAATTTGTCAATGGGAAGAATCTAACATGTCAATGACCCAAAGCACACAGTGGTTGAAGAAGAAAAAGGTGAATGTCTTTGCATGGCCGAGTCAGAGCCCAGACTTAAACCCCAATGAAAATATGTGGAATGACTTGAAGACTGCAGTCCACAAACCGTCACCATCAAATTGAACTGAACTTGAGCAGTTCTGCAAAGAAGAGTGGATATTGCAAAGTCTAGATGTGGAAAGTTAGTAGAGACATAACCCAACAGACTAAAGGCTGTAATTAAAGCAAAAGGTGGTTCAACAAAATACTGACACAAGGGGGTGATCCTTTTTCTAACTTAGTGAATCTGTTTTTATTTTTTTTCTGACATGGTGTTATTTCTTTCACTTGGATGTTATAAGTTGCACTGAGTAAATACAGCTGAATAAAACAAAAACTGTGTCTGTCTTAGTTTCAGGCAGCAAAGCAACAAAATGTGATTATTTTAAAGTGGGGTGATTCTTTTCTACACCCACTGTACATTTCTAGGTTATAGAAATCAGACATTTATAATTTGACTCCCCATCTATAGAGCGCAGTATAGCTGTGACGTCAAAACCAGGAAGACAAATTCACCATGGGTTCCCTCGAGATTTTCCTATGGGTTTTTATAATGGTGTTTTTAATTTCATACGTAAAGTAAGGTAAGTGGTAACTATAACTTGACAATACTTGTTTTATTGTACAATGTAAACTGCAAACACGTACACTCCAGATTTCTTATGTAGTTACAAACAAACATTTTTAAAAATAACAAAAAAAAATTTGCTTCAAAATTTGCATTTTCAGTATGGGTGTGTGTAATTCACATTGTAGACTGAAACGTCCAAGTATCGTCAATTTATGTTTAACACGGGCGTTGTTTTACTCATAAATTGAAAAACCCTATTTTAAAAACCCATAGAAAAATATTGTTGGAGCCAACTAATTCATTTTAAGTCATCTTGAGGGCCCCTTGGAAGTTTGTTGACGCCCTCTAGTAGACCCCGGCCCCCTGTTTGAGACATGGCCCCACATTTAAAGATCCTTATGTAAGGCCAACTGGTTTTATTTGCTTGCTACAGCCAGTTTTTACTTGCATTTTGTGCTTGCTGAGTATGAATTCCATATCCTGCTTCTACACTGTTATAAAGCATTATTATAGGCTCTGGCAGTAAAAGTTTGCATGTCATCTAATTTCAATTGAAAGATATCGATCCCGCTAAAACTAATTTGTAACCTTTGATAAACAGCTTTGATATGTTCCTCTAATGACCTCTAATGGAACATGTAATAACAGATCAATTCAACAGACATATACATTTCCTTGGCAAAGCAAAGAAAGCATTTGTATCTTTCAATCAGGTTTTCCTTCCAAATCCAAACCCTGCATTTGAAGCTCCCCCAGTTGCCTGGCCATCGCTCTCTTACCTTTCACGATTAAAATAGCTACAGCTGATAAACTCTCGACATCCGTGTCGACCACACAGACATACTTTCCGGCGTGCTTCAGCTGTATATTCCGTATCATCAAATCTCCTGATGTACTCTGGAGATATAAACACACACATACGCATTACTATCCACTCTATCAACTGGGGCTTTAAAGCGACAGGAAGATGTGTGAGTTGTTTGCTATGTTTGCCGGCAAGTGATTCAGTAAGTATAGACACCCAGCTGGGTTTGGGAATGAAAATGTGGCCCAACTCCACAGCTAATGGATGACTTTTGGCAAAGGCTGTTCGCTGCTACGTTTGAAATGTCCGTCATGGATAAATATTTCCTCTGGCCAAGCCTTAGGCTCCTTCGGCACTGCACAGGATCCAGCTACCAAACTCACTCGCTAATTGGCTAATTAGAGCTTAATCACATTTAAGAGGTAGTGTGATTGGATTCAGTGTGCTAAAACCCTGTGATACGAAACCATACAAGTGATGAATACTAAATCCACACACGACAATTAAACGCCTTTGTTAATCTAATAAAGATGAAGAAAGTTGTTCATAAGAGTGGAGGTGAACTTTAAAAGCGCTCTGTCAAGGGAATAGATGAAGTACTGTGAAAACAGGTAAAGTAATAAAGATATATATACTATTATATTCATGATGATACTTGTAATTAACAAGTAAAAAGAGCATCAGAATCATCATATATTATAAAGTTATAATTATAATGAGGACCTTATTTATTGTAAAGCAACTGATTCAACTGATTAAATCTTTGAATCCTTTTAATTGATATGCTGATTAATTGCATGCATCAATTTATGCAGAGAATAGAATCCAATTTAATTCAAAGACTGAACGCACTGAATAGACCATTTTAAAAGAACAGACAACTTTGGAAAAACTCAAGACTCCAGCGTTTTGTTTCACGCCATTGCTCTCCATTTAGATGATTTTTAACATAAGCATTTATGTATGCTTATATTGCGTTTGGCCTCGTTCTGTATTGCGTATCTTGTCAGTGTCTGCGCTTGCTTGGCCATTTGTTGTGAAAAAATAAGGAAAGTGTGTTCAAGCGCCAGCAGAAAACAGTGTAAAGAAATACTCTTTGAGAGAAGCAGTCTTTATCAGCGGAAGTTAAAAGCAGCTCGTAAGTGTATTTACTTGTCTCATTAGTGTTTAGTGCAGTTGTTGTTGCTAGGAAATGCTTGTTTTGTTTACTGTGTGGAGACGTGCTGATATCACGCTTGGTCTCATTCTGTATCGCGTATCTTGTCAGTGTCTGCGCTTGCTTGGCCATTTGTTGTGAAAAAATAAGGAAAGTGTGTCCAGCTGAATTAATTTAGTATTTTGTTAGACGGGTATAAAAAAGCTTAGTTTACGGCGGCAGCTGTCGCGTGACGGCCTCCTCGTGTGAAGACCAAAGAGTGTAAAGACCTACAATTGATTGCTTCTGTTGTCCTCATTTGTAAGTCGCTTTGGATAAAAGCATCTGCTAAATGACTAAATAAATAAAATGTATGCATTAAAGTAACATTCTATACTGAAAGCCCTAATAAAAAAGATATTTGCGTGACTTGCACTACTGTTCTAAAGTTTGAGGTCAGTAAGATTTTAAATCAATAAAAAAGGAATGAAACTTCCTATTCCTTAAAGAATCCTGAAAAAAATGCATCACGATTTCCATAAAAAATGTTCACAAACAGCATCACTTTTGTGGGTGATTTTATATTGCTACCTGATTTGCATAATTCTCTTAGTGAAAAAGTTGCTAAAACCATGCAGACAGCATATGCAAATAAATAGTGCTATCAGTGGGTGCATTTAATTCTTACTCTATCTACACCTATCTGTAAAAAAAATCTTCAGTTTACTAAAATGGATTCTTTATTGCTATTGTTTATAGACACTGATTCGCTTGGATGTTGATATTGTCTGTGCAGCACTGAAGTCTTTGGCACAGACAACTTCACTAATTAAATAAAAGCGCTTAGATTTCAAATCAATTAAATTAGATAAGATGTATGCTCTTATCTGAGGGGGAGATTGTGGTTGGCAAACAAGAAGCAAATCTGCAATTTCAGCAGTAAGGGCATTAGGCTACAAATTTAGTTTCATTATGGAAATGAATTCATCCAAGCTGTGAACTTCATGTTGATAATCCTACAAGACGGGTGGCATCTGAGAAATTTATAAGAAGAACTGGAATATAATTACTGATAAGAATCACTGGCTTAAATCAAGATGAGAGCGTTTCCTATGTGTGTGTCCCAAATGTTCAGATTTATCACAAAATTACCGTAATTATATAAAAGTCAAAAATAATTTTATTTTACTGTTGCTTTCCACAAAAAATAACTCATTAAATTCTCTGAAATATGCAACCTTATTTGAAAAAGAAATCATCTTTTTGATGGCTTTGGGTTGGTGATTAATGAATCTGTTTAAGGATTTCTCAGTTGAGTCATGCACATCCAATATTGACCAGTCTGTCCTCATTAGGGAATTCTCTCAGTCTTTAAAATCATTACTATTTCTAGAAAGGCATCATCACATCCCAGAGAAAAGCAGTCTGAGATGTGAGATCTGACCATTCAAAAGCCATATGAGGATATTACACTTGGGATCCTTGAAGGCAAAACTTTAATGGATTGATTTTTATTCTGTGAAGAGGAGGGAAAAGAGCTAAAAGTGAACGTAGTGGGCTGCTAAGCAGTGAAAGGAACAGCTAAAAACCTCAAAAAGAGAGTGATGAATTGATCTCTGCCAAGTCTCCCACATTTTAACAGTAGGTCTGGCTCAGAGTATAATAGCATTATACAGTAAACTACTGGATCAACTCCCTCAGAATCTGTCATTTGTTGAGTATAATAAATTAATTTAATTGTTAGAGATGTACAGTACAGAGACATTAAAGGAACACTCAGTATTTTTCTTCATTAGAAAGGCTTTACACAAAGAAACGAATAGTACTTTTTTTAATACATTTGTTTAAAATCATATGCATTCACATAAAATATGATGCAGACTCCAGTCATATGACCGGCAAAATAAAAGTTTTTATTTTTAATTAAATTAAATTGGTCCACGACAACTGTCATATTTGCAATGTGCATTTTCAATTTGCATTTTGAAACTGCCTGATTGCAGAACCTCAGTTTTTGACTGAACATTGTCAAAATTATTTTGGATAAGCACAGATCAATGAGACCTATGATTAATCAGTTCCAAAAAGGAATACAAAAAGTGCTAACTGAAAGAAAACAAAATGGCAAAAAGACTGAATACAAGATTTAGTGATAATATAGCATTATGATAGGTTTACAAGCAATTTTCAAAAGGCTTGGTAATTTTTGACTGGGAACACCAAATAAGGTAAAGGATAACCAGCACAGCACAAGTGTGAAAACAATGTTTGGTGAAGTTAAAATGCTAGATTTTTGTTGAACATCTTTACACACTTCCATGACATGTTAAACAGTATAAAGCAGAATACAGACAGAAAGCATATCTAAAAAATATAACTTACCCCACCCACATGCTCATAATGCTGGTCCAGTTTATTGAGGAGCTGCCCATTGAAGGCCCAGGAGAATGAAACATCCAGAGCGGGGTCACATGAGATCTGGCAGGGCAGTACAATGCTCTCCCCAACAATGATCTCCATGTCCACTGGACCCTGGGTGATTTGTGTGGGATCTGCTCAAAATCACACATAAGGTTGATTCATTTAAATTAATAATAAGTGTAAATATATACATATAGTATACATAAATTCTAAACCATTTAATTAAAGGGCAATATTTTCAACCAGATCTCAAAAACGTGACATTTGTGCAAAACCTGAAATCAATGCTCCAGGTACAAAAACTCTGAGCCTGAAACCAAACAAACCGACTCTAAGATTTACAGCAAAAATAAAACTAACAAAAGTAGGAGACTGTGTCCTTATCAATGAATGAAGTACTAATCTCATGATGAAGCATCGCAATTTATTTCCACAGACTGGTAAGCAAAGCCAAGAGGCATCCCCGCATTCAGCGCAGTTCACGATTGTGGCTTGAGGGACATATCAGGGAATGAGGTTACATATGTAACGAGACGTTCCCTATCAGTCAGTCACGTTCGATGTTACTTCGACATTAGGGGTCCCTATGGAAAACGCCACAACCAGAACTATGTTACGAAAATTGAAGGTGCAGGTGCTGATAAGCAAGCATGTCAGGACCGATGCACCTCGATCCGTAGCCTACCCAACGCCCAATAAGCCAGATCATTTATTAAATATACGGACTTACCAGAAAAGCCAAAAAAGGGTTGTTCCGACATTCACTATACTAGATTTCAGCAACCGTTGGGGTGCAGAGATGCATCTGAATAGGAATGTGAACAGTAAGACTGGTTACAGCACCGTCTGACAACTGTCGCGATCCGAGTTCAGAAGAACACGGGTTTACCAAGGGAAACTGTACCATTGAAAAAAACATACAGGATTACCAAAGGAATCTGTGCTCGCACAACAGATCTCACGAGTGAGCTAATATAAGCCAGTCATCGAGATTGAGTTGAGGACTCGGATGCCCTTCTCCCAAAGTGGGGACAGGACACCCTCTGTGACTTTTATAAATATGCGGGGAGACCGAAACAGCACGAAGGCAACCCTTCCATCTCCGGGTCACCCATCTCTGGGGCGCTTCGAGGTGCTCTGGGAAGACTTAACGGCACCCTAAGAAGTGGACTGCACTCTCTTCCTGGGGGAAGCTCAACGCCCCTGTTGAGGAGTCTCCTCGGATACGCATCATCCCTGGGCCAGAACTACCCTTGTGCAGTTTTTTAAGCGCCTTGGCCTGGTGTACTTGCAGGATGGCCATGGTGTGCAGGGAAAGTGGTCTCAGCATGCTTGCGGCCAAGACACGTGAGACAGCAATCATGTCCGTCATCAGAGGTAAGGAAAATACTGCACTCAGAAGCACATGGTCGGAAAGACTATCTAGAAAGACACTCTCAGCCATGCAAGCTGTAGGAAATTGCTCTTTTAGGCTGGAGTGCCCAGGGGTGGATCACAACATTTATCTGTGCTAAGGAGAGGCGAACACACCACTGAATGCACTGTTTTCTGACACAGCCGAGAATCTCCTGCAGTGAAGGCTTCTTAGTTTCTTGAAGATTTCTCTTAGATCTGAATAAGTGGATGCACGCCGCCATCTTATATACCCGTATGTACTAGGGATGTGCGGGTCTAGTCTACAGCTCCTACTAGTCGACACTGAAAACAATAGTCGTTTACACGACAGAAAAAAAAAGAAAAACAAAAACAGGATTTTATCATTCACATTACATTCATCATTTTAACATTGCATTTAAAACATTTTATATAACAAATTAAAATAAAACGTTTGAAAAATACATTATTTTAAAAAGTTTATCTGGGCGGAAACTAAATTTTTACCTCAGACCTCACATGCGTTTTCTTCGTGTCAGTTGCGGCGAGTTCAAATATGACCATGCGAAAGACGAGAAGGTGTGGGATTATTTTGAATTAGAAGGAAACTGAAAAGTTTTGAGTAAACTGTGTAATGTCAAATTGTCTTACAATAACTCTACTGGAGCGATGCATAATCATATTCAATACGATACGGCACGTTTTCTGATCGCCTAAAATGAAATGATGATAACGCGAGGCAAGTGTGCGGCAAGCGGAATTCATTGAGGGATTTGACAGTGTGAGTCATAGATTAAGTATTTCAAATATAGGCTATGCTACACGCACGCACAGAGGTTTTTTTTTCTTACCATCTTTTGGGGGTTTCTTGCTTTTAGACTAGTCGACTAGTCGGATACAAAACTTTAGTTTAAACGACAGTCAAATTAGTCATCGCACACATCCCTAGTATGTACGGGGAGTGGCTTGGCATGCAAATTCCCCTCGCCAATTGTCATTGTCGATTTCTTGTAATGCTCAGAGGTAATTGGGGCTCCCAAGTGAGACCCCTAACTTCAGTGTCGACATAATGTCGAACGTGACTGACTGATAGGGAAACAAATTTCTCTAAGGAGGAAATGAATGGGATTTTTACTTCTATCCACTAGGACACTGCAGCTTTATCTACTGTATAAGGAAAAAGGCATATCAGTCTCTTGCTCTCTCTCTCTCTCTCTCTCTGTTTTTGATGTAGACTGATTTATTAACACAGAAGCGATTAGATAACTAAATATATACATTTATGTAAAGAAATATATATCTATATAAACATCACACACACACACACACACACACACACACACATGTTGTGTTTCCATGTTTTATGGGGAAATTCCATAGGCGTAATGGTTTTTATACTGTACAAACTGTATGTGCTATTGCCCTACACCAACCCTACACCTAAACCTACCCCTTACAGGAAACTTTGTGCACTTTTACTTTCTCAAAAAAACTCATTCTGTATGATTTATAAGCTTGTTTCCTCATGGGGACCTCAAAAATGTCCCCACAAGGTCAACATTTACTAGTATTACTATCCTTGTGGGGACATTTGGTCCCCATAATGTGATAAATACCAGGTACACACACACACACACACAAAAGAAAATAAATAGGGTCAATTTGGGTACAAATTCAGATTTTTTTTTTTTGTTTTAGTTTAAAAATTAGTTACAATATATATTTTTTTCAGTTCTGAAAATTAAATAATAAAAAAATATAGTGTAATGAACTTCATGAATTTCAAATGATCAAGGAAAATTCATTTTCTATTCAACTGACACGACACTTTTAATGACATCAATGTTTTTATAAGTGCCCAGTCGTTTAATGCGGAGGTTACTTCCATTCAGATTCATATTCAAATCTGTTGGCATGGAATCTGCTGTAAAAGACAGTAATCTCAGCAAAACCCAAAGTGCAAATGCAGCATTCTATATTTTTCTCTCTAAATTGTGCACGTGCAACCTATAACCTACACCCTCACACACTTCATTAGTGTAATCCAGGGTAATTGCAATGCCATAAGCGGAGCGTGAAAATGGGTAATTACAACAACACACAAAAAGCCTCTGTATCCCATCCCTGTTGAGTTGAGCTGAGACAAAAAAAAAAAAAAACCTGCCAGTTGGAGAGCTGAACCGCTCAACCCATTGCATTACACTAGAGGAGCATGTAAGCCCCAGAAAGCAATCAAACAACTTTACTTTCAGAATGCATTATTAAAACTTCATGAATCAGAAATCCTCTAATTGGCAGAGCACCTTTGTATATACTCTTCTGGATTAATCTATTTGTTGCTTTTGTTCCTCTATTGTAAGTCGCTTTGGATAAAGGCGCCAGCTAAATGCATAAATGTAAATGTTGTTCTGGGGTAACTGGCAGGTCAGGATAGGATAGGATATTACACAAAAAATAAATAAATAAATAAATTCTCATTTACTTAACCTTGTGTTGTCCCAAACGTGTATGATTTCCTTTATTTTGTCAAACACGAAGATATTTGAAGAACGTTTCGACTGTTTTTGTTTATACAAATAAAAGTCAGTGGGGTCCAATAGTTTCAAGCTCCAAAAAGGACATATAGCATAAATGAATGAATGAATGATGCATTTATATAGTTCATTCATCATTCATATAGCATAAAAGTAATCCATACAACACAAGTGGTTTAATGTAAAGTGCTTCAGTGTTTTCTGAAGTGATAAAATATATTAAAGATCAATTCATGTATACAGAGTCTAAATCAAATATGTGACCCTGGAACACAAAACCAATCTTAAGTGTCAATTTTTAAAAATTGAGGTTTATACATCATATGAAAGCTGAATAAACAAGATTTCCATTGATGTATGGTATGTTAGGATAGGACAATATTTGGTCGAGATATCTGAGGGTGCAAAAAAATCTAAATATTGAGAAAATCGCCTTTACAGTTGTCCAAATGAAGTCCTTAGCAATGCATATTACTAATAAAAAAATTAAGTTTTGATATATTTATGGTAGGAAATTTACAAAATATCTCCATGGAACATCATCTTTACTTAATATCCTAATGATTTTTGCCATAAAAGAAAAATCTATAATTTTGACCCATACAATGTATTTTTGGCTATTGCTACAAATATACCTGAGCTACTTATGACTGGTTTTGTGCTCCAGGGTCACATATGTCAAATACGTCACATCAGTGTTATTTTAGTATCACTCAGACACTATATATAGCTTTTTTTTGTAACATATTTTGAATTAGTTTTTATTTTGGTATTTTCAGTTTTTCTTTTAGTTGTAGTTTATGTTTTAGTATTTCGTTGTGTGTTTTTTATTATTATTTGTCATTATTATTATTTTATATATCTATATAGTTTTTTATTTTAGTACATCAAGTTAAAGTAAATGAAAATGAGAAATGTTGCTTTAGAAATTAGCTGAAGGAAATACGATTGAAGTTTATTTGGAAGTTTATTTCTTTTATTTTATTTCAAGTAACAAGTTTTTTATTGTTTTGCTTTTAGATAACTATATTAACCCTATGTCACATTAATAACATAAAACCTCATTTGTTCTTGCATGTCACGTGACTGAACATGTCATAACAGAGATGCCAGGACACAAAAAGCAGTGAGGTTTGATGTAATTCATGCCTTTCCTTATGTAATTTGGATTGTCTTTTGAAGTAAATAACCACTTAAATTTGGCTCTGTTCATCATATATGCTACCTTTATGTCCTTTTTGGAGCTTGAAACTGTTGGACCCCATTGGCTTCCATTATATGGACAACAACAGTTGAAACATTCATCAAAATATCTTTGTTTGTGTTACACAAAAGAAAGAAATGTTTGCAACGCCATGAGGGAGAGTAAATTACAGACTTTTTATTTTTGGATTAACAATCTCTTTAAGAAACTGTCATGATTTTGATTAATTGTGCAGCTGTATCAAGATCCAAATTGCCTGAAACTGTAAAGCCCCAGAGTTTGGAGAGAAATCACCACTTCCCACACACCATTCTCACAGTTGAACGACAATCTAAAATAACTTCTATCTGCAGAAAAAGCAAAGAGGAAGCCCAGACCGTAATACTGTTACAGTAATCCATACCTGTGACCAGCAGTCTTCCTGTAGTGCTGGCCGTACCAAACTGGTTTCTAGCCAAGCAAGCGTAGTTTCCCCCGTCCATCTTGGTCACATTTGTAATTCTAAGTGTTCCATCAGGGAGTAAAGTTATCCTGAAGGAGAGAAGCACAATCCTCTCAAATCAAATTTAACCTTGGTTAACTCATAATGGAGCTAGATTCCGAGTACAAATGAGTTTTATCTTGTGGGCACAGTAGAGATGAAGTAAGAAGAACATAATGTGTTTCTTTAGAATGGCACATAAATCTCGGTACATTGGACACTCTCCGTGGCTCAGTGCATGCAGCTACCTGAGAGCCAATGAAGCTGAAGAGTGTGCGTTCACACGAAACAGTCATTCAAACGTAAAGCCGGCGAGCTATAACAGCGGGCAGCATCGCTCAATCTACCGCCCCATCATTTGAATTAGACTTCCTTCCAAACCTTCATTGACATTACTTCATTAACGTACTCTTAATATACATGCTCTTAAGAAATACAAACCTTATTTCTGAAATATGTAGTTACACTAGTAATTAAAAAATTATATGACTGGATTAAAAGAAAAAAGTTTTTGGCTTATCAGCTGATCAATATATTTTAATAGACAGGGTTGTGACTTATTTTATATAATTATTTGTAGGTTCCAATTTGACATTTAGTAGATATTCACTATCATTCAAAAGTTTGGGGTCGGTAAGATTTTTTAAATGTTTTTGAAAGTGTGTCTTTATGCTTAAGGCTGCATTTATTTGATCAAAAATACAGTAAAATAATATTGTGAAATATTACTACAATTTAAGTGTTTTCACATGACCCTTCAAAAATCATTCTAATATGATTTAATCCTCAAGAAACGTTTCTTAATATTATCAATGTTGAAAATGGTTGTATTTTTGTGTAAAGCTGATGTTTTCTTTTTTCCCCTTTTTTTTCTCCAAAGAAAGTTCAAAAGAACAGCATTTATTTGAAGGATAATGTCTTACGCAACAATGTAAACGACTTTACTGCCACTTTTTTGATCAATTTATTGCATCCTTTCTCAAGAAAATGATTCATTTCTTAAAAAAAAAATCTTACTGACCCCAAAATTTTGAACAGTAGTGTATATTATTCTTGAGATCTAAAGGAAATATAATTATATACATCCAAAACTACTTAGTAACGTTAATATTCTAAGGCAATTATATTATTTTAATAAAATATTATGATAATATGTTTCTCTAGTTTTCTAGCATCTTTCTAGTATTACAACCATCCCTGTAATGGTAAATGCTTGTATCTTGTATTGAATTCAAAATTATTCTCAAGGCTTTCTTAATGTAAAAATGTAATGGTAATATTTGTGATGGCATATGGTACAGCAGTGTTTGATTTATGGAAAAAAATATATATATAATTGACCCCGGGCCTCCTTATATATCACCAGCTATTCACAATATATCATCCAGAGTAGCAGACAGCAAATGCTGGTAACCCAGTACTGGAATGTTAATGTTGTAATGCACAGTTCCCCGGCAATGCGCTTACAGTTCAATTGGACTTGGGCCGTCTCACCGAATGCTCTCAAAACAAACAACTGTGGCTTAATGCAAATCTATTGTTTTCCCACAGTAGTTCTGCACCCTTGACAGGATTCTCCCCATACTATTTAATCCAACTTCATTATAAAAAAAAGCCAAGCGTGCGATCCGCTGCGCTTCTTCAAGTGGCCTCCTACCAGGAATCATTTCATACTTGACAGACTCAACCCAAAATGCCGAGCGACCTCCTGCCGGCCCGGCCTAATGGCCTGCTTCATAATTCATGAGTGTTATGGTCAGTGAGCTACCACAATTGGCAATGCAGCTTCCTTTTGATAACTGTTCAGTTGCAGGCTGTGCACAGATAGTGTGAACATAGTAGGGCTGCTGGGGTGAAGCCTTGAACGAATAGATGGTCAGAAAGAAGGAATAAGAGGAATTAAGGACAAGAATACAAAGAAAAGAGAGAAAAAACGATTGTATCCGTACCTGTCTGTGCTCTGCACCGGTTCGATGCCTTTCCTCCACATGCAGATGGCTGTGGGAAAGGCCTGCGGCCTGCACTCCATGGTGACTGTGCTGCCCGTCTTGGCTTTAAGCAGAGCTCTGAGAGGGCTTCTGGAAAAGTCTGGGGGCGAGGCTGTGGAAAAACACATGGCCAAGAGAGTCAAACTACCGCCTCGGATGCCCTGCACGCATTACTGTAAACGGACAGCAGGGCCGAAAGCAGCATTGTGTGCGTGTGTTTGTGTGCACTGCTGATGTAGGACCACTTTAACATTTTCTCTTAAAAGAACAGTTCAAGGCAAATTCTGGAGGGACTTCACTTGCTCTCTGCCTCTCTCTGTTGTTTTAGCACTTCACTAAAGGAATTATGCAAATCAGGAAAAAAAATTAGTGATGAATGCAATTTGCGTGGAGCAGTTCCCCATTATGTGGGTGGTTTTGAGCACTAGGTTGTGAAGGATCGTACTTTTGGGATACAATATTTTCCATCATTTTGGGGATACAATATTTTCCATCATTTTATCTCTTTTAGGATAAACTTTTTAATTACGTTTTTAATTAGTGTGTCTTTATGAAGTGGATCTATCTATCTATCTATCTATCTATCTATCTATCTATCTATCTATCTATCTATCTATCTATCTATCTATCTATCACTTTGACAAAAAAATGTAATTGTAAAATATATAAAAAAAATTAAAATGTTACTATATTTACTGCATGTCTGATCCAGGGTTATTATAGTTAACTAAAACTAAAACTATAAAAAAAAAACATGTTCGTTACTTGAAATGAAATAAATGTTAACGGAAACAAAATTATAAACTGAAATATTTCAGCTAGTTTCCAAGGCAAAATTTCTCTTTTTCATTTAAATTTACCTTAATATTCTAAAATAACAAACTAAAACGGAAATAACATTCATAATCTATAATAATCTAATAATCTATATAGGCATATTTAAAAACAACAAAAACTAATAAAAATGACAAATACAACAAAATTACAAAAAAAAAACCTTTAGAATTAAAATGAAAACAGAAAATATAAAAATCAAATCAAATTGAAAATATGAACATAATAGTATCTCAATGATACTAAAATAACACTGGTTTGTTCAAATATATGCAGCCTTGGTAAGTATAAGGGACTTCTTTCAAAAACATAAACAAATATTTTCTGTCACTCAGTTTCTGACCTTAAACTTTTAAAATTAATGTTTTCTTTTTTTTAATAAAACGTTTTTATTTCTTTCTTATCTCTTATATTCTTATATAAACAACATACAAGTGTAATTTAACTTAACTTAATTTTTTGAGTGAACTATCCCTTTAAAAATGTATGACTATGGTATAAAACCCTAAACCTGTTAATAACAGGGATATAATATAATTGATAATATAATATCAATCCACGCTGATATTACACAGTCAGTTGTCCAGTTTTTAAAGTAGCCATTAAATGAAAGACATTTTCCGATAGCGATGACGCAACGCTAAAAGACTAGCACTAATTGGGTCTAATGTATCTCCTCTGCCGAGAAGCAGCGTTTATCTGTGAATGGGAAAGCTGCTTATGCACTGTCATAGCGAACACGCTGTGGCCTAAAGCATTGTTATATAGCATCTCTATTACCTAATTAGCCCGTGGAGGGTTGCTTGGCTCCTAAACAAATATCATTAGAGAAGACCAGCGAAGGAATTGGCTGCAGTCAGAAAGCAGAGGTGTCCTTAATGACCTCTACCCACTTTCCACCATCTCTCTCTCCCTCTCCATCTCTGTATGAGCCGATGACAAAGATCTTTCTCTGGTGTTTGTCACTGTCTACTCTATGGTTTTTCCACCCAGTGAACCCTTCAGTTGTGGCTTTGTCATGTTGTCAACAGAGTGGCCACAGTTCCTCATCTCCCACCAGCCAATCAATAGTGGATTAACATTACTGAGAGTCACAGTGCCATGCCAGCCCACTCTAAATGTTCTGATGGGAAATGTTGAAAAGAGGGCAGCTTGGTGTGTGCTGTGAACCCATTTCAAGAGTTTATTTGTCTGTAAAAACTTCAGTGCACACCAGTGGATGAGAGCTGTGTTCTGATATTCATAATCAGCCATACTGCAGTTTGAACCCTTTTTTTTTTGCAAAAGAAAAAGAAGAAGAAGAAGAAGAAAAAGAAGAAAACAACCCTCAAGCACACTGTAAAAGTTTTTTTTTTTTTAAGTAAAAAGGTGCTCTAGTCTTAGTTTACTCTATTTACTCTAGTCTTAAATAGGTAACCTGACACCTAAATGCTATTATAACAGTTCTCAATGTTATTTGTTAAAAGCTTGCAAATTAAGCGTTGCTTCAGAAGTGTTTACATTTATTTTTCAGCAAATTAAAAATGTGTGGCTTTTATACAGCTATTCAAGCAGTCTCAGTAACATTAGTACAATACACTTCGATAAACAATAGTATTAAAATATTTAATATTTGTAATATTTCTCCAACTGCTTTAACTACATTAAAATAACAATATTCATATAGCATCACATCTGCCAGTCTTAATTCACTATATCTACTCTAGTTTTAAATAGGTAACCAACACCTAAATGTTATTATGATGCTATTTACATTTTTTTAAAATGAGAAATGTATAATGTATAATAAATGTAACGTAATGCTTATACAGTCATTCAAACAGTCTCTTTCATTGTTGAAACTAATATAAAAAAATATATATATATTTTCATATTTATAAAATATTTTAGTTTATATACATTAATTTGTGGTTTTAGTTTCTAGAAAGATTTTAAATGTTATACTGCAAATGCAAAATTGCAACCAAAAAGCAATGTAATGAAATGTAGAAATGTTTTGTGTTTGCTGGGATGGTACTGCTTAGTGAACAAAGGCACAAGATGATTGGAAATGAGAAAGAAGATATTCTCTTACCTAAAACCACCAATTCAGCACCGAAATAAATGATTCCGTGTTTGTTCTCGGCGACACACTGATACATGCCAGCATCTGAGAGGTTAACGGAGCTGATTGTCAGGGCTCCATTCTCTATCTGGATCCTGTCCTGTGAAACAGAGCAACAGCAATGAAAATAATTTTAAAATAGCTGTGCATTCAACTCAAACAACGACGACTAAGACTGAGGCTTTATATAATCAATACAGCTTTGTTATGTAAATTTACAGAGCTCCCCTGCTGAGGTTTGACCCAAGGATCTTTGCACTGCCATCCCAGATTTTTTACCACTACACCATTCATGCGCTGCTTGAATTTTACCTCAGCTGCCAGTAGTGCTCCATTCTTCAGCCAGCTGTATGAAGGCTTGGGCTTCCCATTGGCCTTACACTCCCAAAACAATCTCTCTTCAATTGACAAAGCGTTGTCTCGCATCGTCTGAACCCACTGTGGCTTTGCTGAAGAGACAAAAGTCAATTGTTTTTATGAATTAATTTATCAGTTATTTTATATACATTATTTTTGTTTTTGAATGACAAAGACATTTCTCTGGTCTTTGTCACTGTCTACTTGAAGATTTTTCTCTCAGTCATGGTCATGTTGTCAATAGAGCAGCCACAGTTTCTCATCTCAGTATTTTTCATGTTTTATGCTCACCGAGGCTGCATCTATTTGATCATAAATACAGTAATATTGTGAAATATTATTACAATAATAAAAAAAGTGTTTTCTATTTGAATATATCTAAACTGTCATTTTAATAAATACATTTTCAGCATCATTACTCCAGTCTTCAGTGTCATATGATACTTCTGAAATCATATATATGCTAAAATATGAAATATGCGGATTTGCTGCTCAAGAAACATTTCTTATTATTATCAATGTTGAAAACAGTTGTGCTGCTTATTATTTCTGTGGAAATTGTAATAAAATTTTTTTCAAGATTCTTTGATGAATAAAAAGTTTAATAGAACAGCATTAGAAATATATACTATTATATTATTATTATTAGAAATAATAACTTTCATCGGTTTAAAGTGTCCTTGCTGAATAAAATAAAAATAAAAAACTCTTACTGATAGCAAACCTTTAAATTGTAGTGTAAAACTATTACAGTCTTGATTGATAGGTTGACACTAAATATTTTAAAAATCTACATGCTAGTTAATGTCTGAAGAAAACACTATATTATTAAGAAACACACAAAGCGATTCTCAGACTACTTTGTCTAACTTTAAAATAACTTTTTTTTTTCTAAATGAAAACTCTTCTCTGCAGTTCTCCTCATTTCAAGCTTGCCTCCTAGTCTGAAAAACACAGCATTGTGAATTACAATTATTTTAGTCTCTTTGACAAATTGCTTTATTACTCTATAGCTTTGGATAAAAGCATCTGTTAAATGCATAAATATAGTACCACATCTGCCAATCTTAATGAAAACGGAATTGTTAAGGCAAGCATTTTTAAAATGGATTATTGCTTAGTTATTTATTTTTCTTATTTTATTCATAAATCAATCATTTTCTTACAATAAAGACTTTCAGTGAGGGAACTGAGCCATATATAGGGGACTAGAAAATCATAGAGACTTGAGTTTGTGCTCTTTTGATCTAGTAACATGCTAACATGTAACATGCACGACGTTCGGCTTTGCTGAAACACGGACACTCTTTTATCCAATTAACTGGAAGCACAACATGTCAATAAGTACTTGATCTATCCGTCTTCCTGATTGAAAAGGCGGCAGATTTCCATTCATGTCCCTGATTCTGTCTAGATTAATGATTGAACAGTCAAACACGGTTCTATAATGTGACACTCTCCTCATGTTCTGCGTTGTTGATTCCCACCAATCACACAAGATCCGTGTAAGCATGGCTATAGATGAATCATCAATCACCATTCACACTAACGGCACTTGCAGGTTTTGTGGCAACTAAGCACTAACCTGATCGATCAGAGTCACGTACTAATTGACTCATCAAAAATAAAAAAAACCCGATCAGCTCCTGTTTTCCAAGAATGAATTAAACCCAAACATCTATGAAACGCATAAGCTAACCAACCTTGCAACTGTTATCAGTTCTTCTTTTCTATGCTTTGGCCTTTTTCAAAGAGTTTGGCATACTGCATTATACAAGAACGCTTGCTCTCTGACAGCACTGGGAGGAAACGCTTTCATGTTTTTGTATCGTTTGTGGAGGTCGGGCCTTTTCAGAAGAAGGTCAGAGTTGCACCTGCCCCTCTAACCTTCTCAATAACCTTGGGAACGAGCAAACTCACATTCACAATAACAGCATTTCATCTGGGAACTTAGAAGTGGTGTGTACAGAGATGTGAGTGGAAAGAAAACCTTTGAAATCCCAGCTGTCCAATGCAAAAGCGCTGTGCTGATTTGCACTTCAGTTTTGTTTATATTGTATTTCACTAATGGGTTCCTTGCAAGTGTTTTTCTTTTTTGTATATTTTTCCATTTATTTGAATCAATAACACCACATGCGAAAGGTTGCCATACCTACGAGATATTGAGTAGCTGTTCTGCTATCAATTATTTTAGGAAACATTTGCTATTTTTATCTTGATATTCAATCATTTTTCAGCACGCTATGGCCAGTAATTCTGTGTGTAGCTGGTGATCTCCACATCATTAGGTTGAGGCATGGTCTTCTTGATATTGTGTCAATGGAAAATGACAGACCCAAGGAGGTAATTATTCTCACATGCTGACTTCTAGTGCCTAATAATCATTTGAGTCATGTCTCGCCTCCAAAAATGGGCTCACAAGTGCTTAACTTTCAGATAGACCTGTAATTTGTCCACATTTAACCGATATCCCTTTGGGCTAGACTTTGGTGTAAGATTTGGAACAGAAGCTTTATCTTATAAAACTAAGGTAAAATCATGAATAAAATTGGAGAGTAAAATGGCCAAGATAATAAGAGCTGACCTAATTGCAGCGTCTGAAGTGTTAATAATGAGTAGCATTATTAACTAAAATATGATGATTATGAATAATACACCAGGGCGGTGAAATTCTTCATGCATGTGTATTTAAAGTGAAGAAAATATCAGAGCTCTAATACATAAATATGTCTGTCTGTCTGTCTGCAAAAAATGCTATTTGTCAATCTATGTTTTGGCTCTATATAAAACTGTAACCTTTCTGGATCAACGAAAGTGTCTCAAATTAGCATTTAGCATTGCTGAGTCTTGGCACGCTGCAACATCACGCTGCCAAATCCGTATATTGGTCTTTACTATGTGGTTATAGAAACTATAAGAAAGTCAGACAGGGCAGAAAGTAATCAGAAAGCAATTCACTGCGATTGTGAAATGACCAAACTGGCAGGGTTCCTCTTGGTAAACGCTGGCAAGAATTTTAATGGTTATGACAATAATAATATCCATTAAGTGCGTTTTAAATGATTAGCAAGCGTTAATTTCAATGACAAACAAAACGATATGGCAAAGACGACCGGCTTTTGCAAATCCTACTAATATCCAATAAATAATTACACAACTGTGCACAAAATAAAATCATATAATGGATAAAACAATCATACCATGTGTATCTACTGTAGTACAATAACACAGTGGACACAATGTACAATTTTTCCAGTTTATTTACAGTATGTTCTTAGCAACTCATTGCCATACTTTCACAGCAATTTTTACGGTAATATTTGTACAATGTCAAAGGAAGATGAAACCATTTACGTGATTATACAACAATGGAGTGGTATTGTATTTTATTACAAGAAATTGCTGTGAAATTTTGAAAAATCCTTGTAATTTTTTTTATGGCGAAAATGAATCATGTGCACTACTAAACATAAAATTACTATGAGTGAAATAATCATACCATGGAAAGACAGTCGTCCTTGCACCGTGTTCTTTCCCATCTTGTTCTCAGCTACACATTCATAGCCTCCGGCGTCCTCCTGCTGGAAACTGGGAATCTCCAGAACTACATTTGAGTTCTTCATCTTCACCTTGCTGGGAAACGGCACTCCATTCGCTCTCCTCCACGTTATCTCTGGAACTGGGCTGAATGTAAGAAAAACTATGGTGAGTAATCTTGCAAAAGCAAAAGAGAAAAATGAAAAGCTACATAGAGAGAAACATAAAAGATGAAGATAAAGAATGGACATTTTGTATAATATCATTATACTGTAGATTACTGTCGTTCCTCCTCATATCTCAGCTCTAACATACTAAATGAGTTACATTTCCTCATAAGACACCATCTCATTTCTTTTTGCAAGGAATACGTACATGGCTCATCCACTAATGGGATCAATTGAGACAGAAAAATTGCCTCAAGGCAAAAAATAGACTGTTATACAGATTTTGACAAGCATGTTCAAAAGGTGGCGAGAAGAGGTGGAAAAGGGCCAAGTACCAGAGTACCATTAAAAGTCAGGATAGCCGTAAAGGAAGGAATCGGCATCAGTAACTACAAAAGGGTGAGGAATCACACTTACTTCCCCAAAGCAAAACACTCCAGTGTCACAACAGATCCCTTTGCGGCTGGAACCATGTCAGAGAAATGAACCTCTATTTTCGGCTCATATTCACCCATTACGCCTATAAAGAAAAAAAGTGTTATTTTTCCATTCATAATTCATTCACTGATCTAAAATAGTAGAAAATACATTATACAACAGATATGAAATAGTGTTAGTAGGTGAACAGCTTTTTTTTTTTTTTTCTGAGAACAGGCAGCTAAAACAAAGGCAACAAATAATTCATACCATCATCTGGAGTCTGACACAACGTAGAGAGGTGTGGTGTTTGCTGCAGTTTTTACAGTGTTGGTAAATATTTTATCCAGCCATTGTTTATGTTTAGGCAAAGTTTAGGACTGTGAAAGCATCTCTTGGAGAGTAAGCAGGGTTGTCTACGAAGCTCTGACTTCACTGTCTAAAACTAATTTACACTTTAAATTAGTTATGTTAAAAGGAGTGTTCGCATGGTTAACATGCTGTCAAGTCGACACCAGAGAAAGTGTTTTCGGTGTTGCTTTCAAATTCTAAGCAAAATAAATTAGTCCAAATACAAAGACAGAGATATATCAACTATACATCTGCATTATTCAATATATTTCATAAACATTTAATCAGAACCAAGTGCCAACACCAATCGGTTCTCTCTTTTCGGTGAACTGGCCGAACATGATTGTGAACAAGTCTATTCGCGTTTGTTTGGACCGCTTTCTCACTGAATCACATAAGTGGAGCGCGTCTCCCCCTAGCCACGGCATGACACTCATACCTAAAGACTAGTTAATAGATTACACAAACATTAGCCTAGCAGCCACACAACGTCATAAGACGTTGATTTCGGTTGCGATGTCGGGTGACCAAAATTCATTGTCAGCTCAACGTCTAATGTTAATGTTAATTTGATGTCCAATACCGACGTCAGCAGACATTGATATTTTGTTGTTTTAGGTTGTGTTGTAAAGTAACCAAAATCCAAGGTTAAGCCAACGTTAATACAACATCAAATTGATGTCAAATACTGACGTCAACCCAATTTTCATTCTCAATCAAAACGCAACGTCTGTCCGACATTGGGGTCCAATGTCAACCTAACGTTATATTGATGTCCAGTGCCTGCTGGGAGGCTACATCCTTATACCCTGGAACTGTCTATATGTGTCTTTGTGTGTGTGAATGATATCATCCATGTGGCAAGTAAACTAATAAAATTACTAGCAATCGTTGTAATAGTGTAAAGGTGTACTCAGAAGTTTGTGAGAGGTCAAGTTAATCAAATCAGTTCAATCTAATATGGAACAAATTTAAAATCCTGCTACTGACAAAACAAAACAGCAGCATACTGTATATTTGTTTATTCCACCATGGGAATTGAATCCAGGTCCAAAACAATTTACACATATACTTTGCTGTTAGCCCAACTAGACACGTCATTTTTCTAATGTTGCATAAGAACATGTTCACAATTTACTTTAAGCTCTTGAAGTTTTTAATATTTAATATTATGTGGGCCGAATTGTGTGTTAATGAAGTTTTCATTTTATTATTTTACATGATACACTATATTAAAGCACTTTATTTAATTTTATATGTACGTGGTGGACGATGGAGCTGGTGGGACCTCCTACAGCAAGTGCTCTGACACAGTTCAAACAAACCTGATGCTTAACTGCATCAACAGGTCAATCAAACCCTTTAGTGATGATATTATGATTTAGCTTCTGCCTACTAAATTGCCCACAGGGAAAAAATGTTGATATTTACCATCAGTTCGTAGTACCAGAGGGGTCGGGGAGCTGAGGACTTTGCCTTTAGTGATGCGGTTTACCACCACGCACGTGTAGTTACCCACATCTGAGGGCTCGACTTTGGCGATGTAAAGGTTTCCCGTCTCCTGAGAGACAAAGCGACGATTGTCTTGTTGAACAAAGTAAGGGTACTCGTTAAAGACCCATGCAAATGAGAGATCTGGAAAGGAGATGGGGCACAGAACATATATAATTCAAAACAAATGAACTGGGCTAGCCAAACACTCTTGGGAACTTAAATGAGAAATTCTTTGTACTTTTTGGTATAATCATTAGGGCCCCGATAACACTTCTCTTTCCCAATAGCACTACTGAAATCTGACCCAGGTATATCCAAAATTATCTTAGGATAATTAGAAGCCTAAGCTGTATAAAACGGCCTCTTTATAAAAAACGACAAAGAATGTCAAGCCAAACAATAGGTGCGTAGACTCAAAGATCAAATGAAATGAACTCACACACCTGAAAGCCATTAAGTCCTTCAAATTTGTACACATTTTTAGAGGCCACAAGGTGCAAAACCTTATTGTGTTCAAGTGTTTGAATCCTGTGGTCTCTAAAAATGATTTTTCTTTCGACAAAGCGTGCGAGCTCTTCCCATTCAAAACACATATTAAATCCCATGGAGTACACTGATAAGTCAGAGCTCTGTATTTCACACATGTGTACAGCATATTTATGCTAAACTAGACTATAAACCAAAAAAGTAACACTATAAAAGCTTACCTCCTGCATATGATGGTGTACCACAAAGTAAAACTACCCCCTGGCCTTCTCGCACAGAGACAGCACTTCTCGTTTGAGTTTTTAAATGTAAGTCTGTAAAGCACACACACACACACACACACACACACACACACACACACACACACACACACACACACACACACACAAAACAGTCAGATGATACAGTAGTGCTACACATTAGAATGAAATGAAAATACCTTAGAGCTGATTTCTTTTATCCCAACTTAACATGTATACATTTCTTTGTTTTACTCCAATAAATAATTAAATTCCACACAAGAAAACAAATCTAGTGATTGTATGTAGGCTACACTATACATTTTTTACACTGTAAAACTAAAATTTATGCCAATTATAATTCACAAGTCAAAAGAACTCACTCCTCTGATCATAGTAACATGTTCTTGCCATTTCTTTATTGTCAGTGTTAGACTTCTAATATACATATTTTTGGTGGAGAGTGCTGTCACTCGCATTGGTCCAAAATCCATTTTGGTCAACCGGTTCAAAATAGGTGTTCAAATGGGTTGAGATATGGTGACCATACATGTCCTATGGTTGGGGTCACTGTCAACTTCCCATCAGGATAGAAATTGTTCATCATTGGATAAACACCGGGGGTTGTGTTTCAGTGTGAATGGACCAAAACGGAGACTTTTAAAAACGATGGCATGGCTGCCCACATTCGCTCTGCGTATCCTTGATGACCGTGTAAACAATAACATCATGCTCATTGTTGTACCTGCATGAATGGTCATGTGACATGCGTTTTTGGTTGTGTAGTGTGGACGGAGATCGTTTCTGAAACACAGTGAAAATGCAAGTGTAGACGAGGATCGTTTTAATTTTAAAATGCCGTTTTAAAACAAAAACGCACTAGTGTAAACAGGGCCTAAATAAGCTATTCTTGCGTATGTATAAGAATGTACGTTTGTATGTTTTTATAGTATATTTACTCTACTTAGTAAAGAGTAGATTTCCACCAAATTATAAGGTTAGTTCACGCAAAAATGAAAATTCTTCCATCATTTACTCACCCTCAAGGTTTTCCAAACCTGTACGAGTTTCCTTCTCCTGTTGAACATAATATTTTAAAGAATGTGTGTAACTAAACAGCTGCTGGTCCCCAATGACTTCCATCAATTTAAAAAAAATAAATAAATGAAAAATTGTTGTTGTTGTTTCAATTTTAAGTAAGTGTTCATCTAAGTTGTCACTTAGCTTCACATTTCAAGTTGACTGAACATAAAATTAAGTGTTTGTATTGTCTTAAAATTTTAAGTTGATACAACTTTTGTATCAACTTAAAATTTGTCTGTAGTTGTTATGACACCCAATAATAGCACAGATTCTTCTAGAACCTCCCCTGCTCACCAACATCAGTAACATGTTCTAGCTGATTACAACAACTAAACGCAAGTCTGGAGCATCCTTCAGGAAGTCTCTTGTCATGGTGCCATCCGCAGAGAAGTGAGGTAAAATGTGGCTCAGTAGTTAGAAGGTTCAGTTATGCAAATGTAATTCTATCCGTTTCAAATATCTAGTTCAAAACCCTCCTATATTTAAAATAACTTCTTAATTCCTTTAAAACATTTTTTTGTAACAACTACTATATTTTTACACCCTTTTTATACTTCTGGGTTTGGAAAACTGAAGTCATCTATAGCACGGTACTGTAGAGGTACATGGGAGACTACATGTAAGCTATTCGCTGGTCTGAAAATACATTAAACAGCACTTGCATCTGTCAAAGCACTTGACAGAGCAAGCCATATTAAAATATACGCTTAAAGAGTTTGTTTAAAGCACTTAATGCAACATTAAACATGACGCATCCTCATGTTTTGGGCAGTTTGTATTGTGCATTTTCCTGCACTGCTTACACTGTGACCTCTGCTATATTTCAGATGTGTTTTATCCATTAAAATGCATTATTCACTGCTGTAAAATGATGTGACTATCAGAGGCTGTCCATGAACAGCACACAGATTAATTAATGAAATAAAAAGTCATTGTTGATTATTTTCATTAATGATTATTAGCTGTTTGCTATTTGATGCCAGAACAGATCATTTATTTTGTGGCTGCATTCAGTAATGTCAGTAGCATAGAAATCACACTTTTTGCACACAGTGATATACCTTTAAAATAATGCAGAAGAACATGCATAGCATGCACAGGAAATTTCTAACAGTCTTTATAATTAGTTTGATCCCAAACAAACTCATAACATTTAAACATAAATTTTTGGGATATATGCTGAAACGTATATGGACATATACAATACGGATATTCATACTTTTATGTTTAAAAGTACTAAAACGTAAAAGTAATTATGTATGCACTTTAGAAACATAAAAACGTCTCGGGTTACTTATGTAACCATGGTTCCCTGAGGGGAACGAGACACTGCGTCCTCTAGGGGTCGCTATGGGGAACGCCTCGTCGTGACCCGTGTCTGAAGCCTACATTGAAAAAACACCAACTTGTTTGGCCGGCGACAGCCATGACGTCACTACCGTCGCAACTAGTACAAAATAGGCGCCGGTAGCGCACATCATCACTTCTTCGTCTGAAGCTTAGTGGCAGATAAATGTACAGTGACAATAATGTTAGTTTCAATATAATATTACATCAGGGGCATTTCCTCCGAGGAGGCAATGGAGGCAGTACCTCCTCAAAAAATTATATGAGAAAAAAAAATCATATTACAAAAATAAAACAACACAAAAATGACAAAATATGACATAAAAAGTGTATAAATCACATTTTTTTCTAAAGTAAAACTGTAAAGTTACAGGGGATCTGCGTCTCTCTCGCCTCCCCTGAGCCCATTGAGTTTTAATAGACCCCCTAAAGCATGCAGTAAGTTTGGTGGTGGGTAATTGAGAATGAATGGGGGAAGCAATGCCTCCATTGCAATTAGGGCTGGGTAAAAAATATCGATATCTCGATATCAATCAATTCTCATTTTTACGGAACGATATCGATTCTTAAATGCCAAGAATCGATTATTCTAGCCTGTTTTCAGTTAATGGACGGAACATTGAAGGGTACTTCCCATCCAAAAAATCGCAATAAGCATTGTGCTTTGGTACTTTTAATATGAAACAAAGTCTCAGATTTCAAATTCTGTCCATTGTATAGCAATATTCAAACAATAAATGCTGTTTTGTCGCTGTTTAATGTAGAGCGACAGATCGCTGTAGTGCCTCAGTTCTACAGACGCAGCAGCGTGAGGCGCACGTGAACTGATCATCTCCTCCACATTAATACCAGCTTCAGCACAAAATAAATATGACTAAACATCCGAAGGTAAGTTAAAAGAAAGAGTATAACTTTACAAGCCGTATCCTGTCTCATGTAATCTCTCAATCAGTGTTTCAGCCGCACAACGACGTCAATATAACGGCTTGTAAACAATGTCACGTAACGTCACATTTACCTCAGAAAAACATATTTAGTGACCATGAACTCATTAGTCAGCTAGAAAAATAGAGAAGTAGAGAGGGGCATTTTGCTAAATATATGCACCATATAACATATTCATTATACATTTTACTGTTCTTCAATGTTTAATTTATATTTGAATCAAGTTTTTATGACAGCCACCATTAGGTTTATATTTCAAACAAATTAATTGAAGTAGAAATATTATGTAATTGTAACTTTATTATTTTAAAAACTTCATTAAGTGTAATTTTAACATCAGTCAATTTTAACCTTCAAAATTATAGTAATGTAGTGCCAACTGACTCTCATGTATATTTTACAGCATTAGTTGAGGGATTTTTTTTCCTTGAGAAAATTTGGCATGTACTGTACCTGATATATATCCAAAATAATCAATATTGAATCGAATCGAATCGTGAAATTTGTGTCAAAATCCAGCCCTAATTGCGATATGATTGGATACGATTGTGATCAACTGTGATTGGTTCATGCGATAAATCCCGCCACTTTTGTATGTGTGTGTTCCGCATTTGCGAATCAGTCTGAATGAACAATATAACAGAGTTAATGGGAAGAGTAATAAAAAAATAAGTAAAAAACTCACACAGTTATATATCACCACTTTGTCAAGTCAAAATCAAACTTCAAATGGCCTGAAAACATGATCTGTGGGGTTTTTTTTAGTGATCAATCAGCTTGTTGAAATTAAAGGCACATCTCCGTATCTGTAACCAGTGTTTACCGAGCTCTGATGACTGATGATCTAAAAATAAGTTTATTATTACAAAGAACAGCTGAACATCAGTTTATAAATAAAATATATATTTGTTTAAATGAAATATATTGTTTAAATTGTTACTGACTTGAGTTATTATTTTGGAATACATGCAAAATGCTTAAAAAAACACTAAACTGATTAGATTTATACTTGGTTTTAATAAATAGAATAGCCTATTAATTACATTGTTAATGTAAAAATAAAAAAATAGATTTTTATTCTGTTAGTGTAAGTATTGTTTATTTAACCAAGAATATGGGACATGAATTTACATTTAATAATAATAAGAAAAAACTAAAAAAAACGGAAGACTTTGCCTCCTCATTTCAGAACTGCACGCCACTGTATTACATGTACATATTTATTTTGAGTCAAATTAGTTAAATGTGTTAAATTAATGTAATGGAATTGAAAATATTTAATTGTCATTAATTACATGCAATAAAATCAACCGATTAATAACACAAACTCAATATTTTATGAATCTTTGTAAACATTAGTACGTTTCTAAAGTCTTTCATATGCATATATATGTCAATACATTAATAATGTGTGTTTTTAGTGTCAATACCAGAGTTGGCCAAAAGTTTTACTTTGAAGGGCCAAAAATCTTTAGAAATGTAAAAAAAAAAAAAAGTGGCAGATAAAAGTACAGTGATAATTTTAGTTTATATATATATATATATATATATATATATATATATATATATATATATATATATATGTGTGTGTGAGTGTGTGTGTGTGTGTTGAATACATGTTATAGAATTTAATGCAATTAAATCATTCTAAAGTTGTTAATGCTGTACACATATAGTATCTTAACAATGTATGTTTCAGTGTCTATATCAGAGGTGCCCAGACATTTTACTATGAAGAGCCAAAAATCTAACTTTAAGGCTTTGGGCTGATACTAAATGCTGCACTATGTTCAACTATAATTATAAATAATTGAATGAAGGATTTAATTAATTATTGTAGGAGCTATATTTGCATTAGTTGCATTAAGGTTTTGATAACTCTTTTTCCCTCTTCTTTAAGCTAGTCCAATATTGGCAGCATCCACTCTAACACCTGTCACCCTGCATTGAGCGGCTGAGGTGCTAATATAGCATGATAACGCACAATCGATGACTCACATGCAAACTGGAGGCTCGCTCTTCTGCTAAGAATTGCTCCCTGTGGGTTGAAGGCAGTGCACTGGTATATTCCTCCATCCTGGGCACGGTCCAGACTCCTAATGACCAAATTTCCTCCAGATAGCCGCCGACGGGAATCGGTGCTGAGATTAATCAATGTGCCGTTCAGAGACCACCTACAGACACACAAACAGACAAATGATAGTGCACAAAGCTCAATGCTGATTTTGAGCGATTTTTCGTGATAACTTTTGAAATTTATTTTGTTTTGGATGTACAAATGTCATATGGAATATCAATTAATCATTACAAAGCATATTCAGATTGGTATTACACTTAATCCCTGATTCATTTCAATAAGAAAAGAAACATTTCAAAATCTGAACAGTCTGATGGCCTATGAAAATGTTGTGAAGAAAAGCTACATGTTTCACTTGGAAATGCATCATATTATACAGGTAAAATCATTTGCAAATGGCAATTCACGTCGACTTTTTATGTTGAAAGATTTCCCGCAGCTCTTTTGCTGTCCTTTTTATTGTGCAATGATTAGCGCCGGAGAGTATCATCAATTCCACTTTCTCACGCCTCATCTACGCCAATGATTAAGACCTAAGACCCAAGCCCACCTGAGGCCCTAACCACTAGCATGCAATTCAGAGGCCAACCCGCTAATGTGGACAGATTTTCAAAGGGCGCAAGATCATTTAAGGATCCTGAGGCCTCACTAGTCATTCACTCTGACAGGGTGTCAGCCGGCTTGAACTCCCATAGTTCAACTGTGTCTACACACCCCAGGAACAGATGCTGTGTGCTAATTTACTAGCATGAGCAGTGAATGCAAATAAGCGAATGGAGGTGTAAATAAAAAAACAAAAACGTATTGAGTTGTGATCAAGGCCTTCCATTATCCACAACAATATTCAAAGGCTCTATGACTTTCCCAGCTTGCAATTTACTGGACAAGGATTAAGCATGAGGATTTTTACAAATATTTTTAACTCAGTTGCTGACAGGTTATAATGAAATAAAAAATGTCTCGATTTGTAGTTGCTTTAGTTTACTTTACAAACAAACATTGTTTTGCTTTAAAATGATTTTAAAGTCATCTTGAGGCCTCTCGAAAGTTTCACTGGTTGAGAACAGCGGTATAGATCAATCCCACGAGACTGGTAACATTAACCCTGTGTGGTATTTTTAGTAAGTTACGCATACTTGTGATCAAAAATTATTCATGCTAGCACACTGAAAAGCAATACTCCGTTTAATTTTTATTCTGGCAAACCAAACCTGTATATATATAATAAATACATAAATAATTAAAAAACATTATAAAATATAATAAAATAAAATAATAAATGCATTTAATAACATCTCGGTTACGTATGGTAACCCTCGTTCCCTGAAGGAGGGAACGGAGACGTCACATCGGATGACCGACGAATTGGGATCTTGCTTAGAGAGACCAATCTACTTCGAGTGTAAACTAAACGAGCCAATGCACATTGGCATGCGATTATTGCATCCAGCTGCCGCTGATCACAGCGTGAGTATAAGTAGGCAGCAGATGCAATGCATATTCAGGTTTTCGCTGAGGAGCCGAGCCGGTGACCCGGCCGCTCAGCGGTGCTACAGGAGCTGTGGCGACGGGACGTGACGTCTCTGTTCCCTCCTCCAGGGACCGAGGGTTACCATACGTAACCAAGACGTTCCCATTCAGTCGGTCACTCTCGACGTCACGTCGGATGACCGACGAATTGGGATCCCTAACAAAGGGCCACAGGTACTGCCCCTTCCAGTGTCCTGTGGAGGCCACCTGTGCCCTTACTTTTTGGCGTAGGCCAGGGCTTGCACAAGAGGACCAGCTACTGCTGCTATGGCACTACCCAATGAGTAAGACTGGACAACACTGGGAAAACGTACCCATTCTACTTGGAACAGGGACGTTACGCAAGCTCCAACCTTCCTGAAGGAGGTTTCGGAAGCAAATACACATATGAACATTCCTTAGGTGCATATGGAAGATTGGAGGTGATTGTAACCCTCTTGGAATGGCAGAAGTCTGCCGGGGAAACACGGGCTCAAGGCTATACCGTGGACTTTACACATATGGGATCCACTTAGGTCTTACATATGGAACCCAGCCTTCTACCGGTTCTCGAGGTTTCAACGAGTGACGGCCTGGCGCCGGACGCTCCGCCAAGTCTGGCTGCCGAGGGGACGGAGGAGCTCAACAGGGTCTACTATATGGACTCTCTGGAATGGTTTTAGAAACCCGACCCGAAGCCAGGGCCTCTCAGTGCTTCTACCTGTTTGAGGTGAGAACACAGGAGGATACCGGCTCCACACGAAGGCTATAGAATCTAGCGGACGTGTTAGGGGTCGCCCAGCCCGCAGAGCCAGCGCCCAGGAGGATGCAACACTCTAGTTGAATGAGCTCACAACCTGAACGGGCAGGGCACAACCTGTGCCTAATACGGCAGGGTGATGGCGTCCATTAACCAGTGGGCCATCCTCTGCTTAGAGATGGCATTCCCCTTCTGCCGGCCTCCGTGACAGACAAAGAGCTGGTCTGAGGTCCTGAAGCTTTGCGTCCGGTCTACATAGCACCTTAAGGCTCGGACGGGACAGAGCAAAGCTAGGGCTGGGTCTACCATCTCTGAGGGCAGCGCTTGCAGGCTCACCACCTGATCCCTGAAGGGAGTAGCGGGAACCTTGGGCACATAGCCGGGCTGGGGCCTCAGGGTTACCTGGGAGTCAGCCGGCCCAAACTCTAGGCACGAATCATCGACCAAAAATGCATGCAGGTCTCCTACCCTCTTGATGGAGGCAAATGCAAGCAGGAGCCGAGTTTTCATTGACAGAAACTTCAGCTCAACCGCCTGCAAAGGCTCGAATGGGCCCTGCTGTAGTGCTGTGAGCACTAGAGTCAGGTCCTAAGAGGGTATAGAGGGGGGCCGTAGAGGATTTACCTTTTCGCCCCCTTAAGGTACCTGATGACCAGGTCATGTTTCCCCAGCGACTTCTCTTCTATGGGGTCATGGTTAGCAGCGATTGCAGCGACATAAACTTTAAGGGCAGCGATTGCAGCGACATAGACTTTGAGGGTGGAGGGAGACAGCCTTCGCTCCAACCCTTGCTGCAAAAAGGACAGCACGACTCTGATCTGGCATATTTGGGGGTCTTCTCGGTGAGAAGAACACCACTCAACGAACAGGTTCCACTTCAAAGCGTAAGCGTGTCTCGTAGACGGTGCTCTCGCTGAAGTGATTGTGTCACTACCTCTTGGGGTAGGTCACTTAGAACCTCCGCGTCCCGTCCAGGGACCAGACATGAAGTTTCCAGAGGTCTGGACGTGGGTGCCAAAGGGTGCCCTGTCTCTGAGTCAGTAGATCCTTCCTCAGAGGAATCGGCCAAGTAGGGCCTGTCGCGAGGAGCATTAGTTCCGGGAACCAGGTCCGGGTAGGCCAATAGGGTGCCACCAACAGGACCTGCTCCTCGTCCTCCCTGACCTTGCACAGTATCTGTGCAAGAAGGCTCACTGGGGGAAACACATGAAGTAGGAGCTGTAAAACCCAATCATCATATCGGCTGGAGGGACCGGCTCTATCGAATCCTTCGCCAGTTGGACTGCGACCTCCGCCCGCAAGACAGGACCATCGGCCGCCTTCACTGTTGTGAAGCGGATGCCACTGAACTTGGGGGGACGCTGGGCGAACTGAATCGCATAGCCGAGGCTGATGGACTGCAGAAACCAACGAGATGGGCTGGGTAGCTCTAGCCAGGCACCCAGATACCGTGCAAGCGGGACCAACGGAACCACTGCCATACCCGCAGTGGGGCAGCGAAGTGGAACGCAGGGACCCAACTCAGGCGGCTTGTGAGCCGACCGAAGAAGGGTCTGAGTGTGCGGTGCAATGCTTACCTGATTCCACAGGTTGGCAGAGGGTGCGTGAGTAGGGCCTTCGTTGACTCTCTCGAACCGCCCGCTGCTGCCAGCTGGCGAAGGAGGAGGATGAGCGTGGTCCGGTGTTGGTCCATCCACGACTCTCCGTACCCTCCCAGAGACAGAGAAAACCGCTCTTTCGTCGAGATTTTCCAGATTCTCCACTCGGCCCTACTCCGGGGGAGGGAGAGGTGCCTTCACCATCCCCCGAGAGCAGCTTCCTCCCTCTCTGGGTCGCCAGTCCCGGGGCGATGAGCAGGCTGGGGCACTGCGGCCGGCGGACGGGTGGACGCTTCAGTCTGCTTCTGTACAGCCGAGAGTTGCTGGGCCATGCGACCGCATCGCCGAAGAGGCCAGTCTGGGACACAGGAGCATTAAGGAACTGAACTTTGTCGGCGTCCCTCATATCGACCAGACACAGCCAGTTTTGGCACTTCTGGACCACCATAGTGGACATCGCACGACCCAGAGACCTTCGTCGCTCGTGGCGCGAAGTACGTAGCGGTGCGGAGTTCTTTGAGAACTTCTGGGTCATGACCACCCTCGTGCGGGTCCCTCAGTGCCTTAGCCTGAAGAACCTGCAGTAATGCCGTAGCATATAAGGCGGAGGCAGCTTCTCCACAGGCTGTATAAGCATCACTGGCCAGTCGAGTACCTACAGACCTGGGAGGGGAGGCACGGTTCGCCCTGCCGGGTGGTGGCGGTATTAGGCACACTTGCATCGCAACCGACCGCTCCACTGGGGGGCCCCTGTATACCCCCTAGCTTCACCACCGTCAAGGGTGGTGAGGGAGGAGGAACCAGCAGATCGGTTTCCGGCAATAAAAGGTGCCATCCAAGACCTGGTGAGCCCCTCATGCACTGAGGCGGAGCGCTGAGAACCAACGCGGACCACCCCGAAGAACCAATCATCCAACCTTGAGGGCTCGGGACACGCTGGAAGTCTCCACTCGAGCCCTACCCCTACGGCGGCCCGGGAAAGCATAGCCGTTATTTCCGGATCCGATTCAGGCATTGCTACAGTCCCGGAGGAGAGCAGCGCAGCCGAATCTTCCTCTCCAGAAAGCTCTGGCTCACCCTCCGATGCAGCGATCGACATCCGGTCGTCGGGAGGAGTGCCAAAGGATACGGCTGGTACGCTCCTTGTAGAGGGCCCAGCACGTTTCATTGGCAGCTCAACTGGCTGCGGAGTGCCTCAGACCGCCCGTCCTACTGCCTGAAGTAGGCCCC